CCACTTCTAGTCCCCCAGGAGTCACCTCTATGCCCTTTCTTATTTATTTATCTTTTTTCTTTGATCCTTGATGCAGGGTCTTTGCTCTGTTACCCAGGCAGGAGTGCAGTGGTGCGATCATAGCTCACTGCAGCCTTGAACTCCTGGTATCAAGTGATCCTCCTGCCTCAGCTTTCCAAGTAGTTGAGACTATAGGCACGTACCAACAAGTCTGGCTAGGTTTTTACTGTTGTTTGTTTGTTTGTTTGTAGTGACAAGGTCTCACTATGTTGCCCAGCCTGGTCTCAAACTCCTGGACTCAAGTGATTCTCCCCTCCGCATCCTAAAGTGCTGGGATTACAGGTGTGAGCCACCATGCCCAGACCTGTATGGCTTTCTAACCACATTCCTCTTCCATCCCCCAGAAGTAACCATTCTCTTAACTTTTGTTGAAGGGGTGGCCTGCCCCTTCACACCTGTGGGCATTTCTCGTTAGGTGGAATGAGAGACTTGAGAAAAGAAATGAGACACAGAGACAAAGTATAGAGAAAGAAAAAGTGAGCCCAGGGGACCAGCGCTCCGCATACAGAGGACCCATGCCGGCACGGCACGGGTCTCTGAGTTCCCTCAGTATTTATTGATCATTATCTTTACCATCTTAGAAAAAGGGAAGTGGCAGGATAATAGGATCATCGTAGGGAGAAGGTCAGCAGTAAGACATATGAATAAAGATCTCTAAGTTTAAGGAAAAGTGCTGTGCCTTGATATGCATATGTAAACATCTCCATAAACCTTTTTAGTGCATAAAGAGCAGCATTGCTGCTAGCACGTTCCACCTTTCGCCCTAAGGCGGTTTTCTCCTTTCTCAGTAAACAGAACATACAATCGGGTTTTACACGGAGATGTTCCATTGCCCAGGGACGGGCAGGAGACAGATGCTTTTCTCTATCTCAACTGCCAAGAGGCCTTCTTTCCTCTTATACTAGTCCTCCTCAGCACAGACCCTTCACAGGTGTCAGGCAGGGGGACAATCAGGTCTTTCCCTTCCCACGAGGCCGTATTTCAGACTGTCACATGGGGAGAAACCTGGGACAATACCTAGCTTTCCTAGGCAGAGGTCCCTGCGACCTTTGGCAGTGTACATGTCCCTGGGTACTTGAGATTAAGAGAATGGTGATGACTTTTCACAAGCATACTGCCTTCGGACACTTGTTTACCAAAGCACACCCTGCACAGCCCAAAATCCGTTAAACCTTGAGTCACCACAGCACATGTCTCTTGCAAGGACAAGGTTGGAGGTGGGGTCACAGATTAACAGCATCTCAAATACAGAACAAAATGGAGTCTCTTATGTCTACTTCTTTCTCTATAGACACAGTAACAGTCTGATCTTTCTTTTCCCCACATTTGTGACAGTAATTTCCCTGCTTTTCTTTGTATGAAGTTGAACCATATAAAATTATCATTTTTGATAGGTCAAAAATCATTGTCTGCAATTTCATATTTCAACCTAGTAGTTTTTACTCACTATGTATGGATCTCTTAGTATAGTTTGAGTCTGTTATTGAATATCATTTAAATGGAATCTTAACTGTATTCTGCTGTATTAGTCAATTTTCACATTGCTGATAAAGATGTACCTGAGACTGGGTAATTTATAAAGAAATAGATGTTTAATGGACTCACAGTTCCACATGGCTGGGGAGGCCTCACAATCATGGTAAGAGGCATGTCTTACATGGCAGCAGGTGAGACAGAATGAGAGCCAAGTGAAAGGGGTTTCCCCTTATCAAACCATCAGATCTCCTGAGACTTATTCACTACCATGAGAACAGTATGGGGGAAACTGCCTCCATGATGCAGTTCTCTCTCACCAGCTCCCTCCCACAACACAGAATTATGGGAGCTACAATTCAAGATGAGATTTGGGTGGGGACACAGCTAGACCATATCATCTGTGTTGTGCTGCTTTCACTTACGGTGCTGTTGTAGTCAACCATGCTGTTGCAGGTTTCTGATTTTCATTGCTGAATATATTCCATAATATGACTACTGCATTTCAAGAGAAATCCATTCCACTGTTGCTGAATTACGGGTTGTGTCTTTATTTGGACTATTTTAGCAAGAATACCAGCCAGTCCCAGTGTCTCAAGCCTGTACTCCTAGCACTTTGGGAGGCCGAGGCAGGCAGATTCCTTGAGCCCAGGAGTTGGAGACTAGCCTGGGCAACATGGCAAAACCCTGTCTTTACAAAAAATACAAAAATTTGCCAGGCATGGTGGTGCACACCTGTAGTCCCAGCTACTCAGGAGGCTGAGGTGGGAGGATCACTTGAGCCTGGGAGGTGGAAGCTGCAGTGAACTGTGATCGTGCTATTGCACTCCAGCTTGGGCAACAGAGTAAGACCCTGTCTCTAGAAAAAAAAAAAAAAAAAAAAAATCCCATAGCCTGGGTGGTTTAAACAGTGAACATTGATTTCTCACAGCTCTAGAGGCTGAGAATTCTAAGATCAAGGCACCAGCAGGTCTAGTGTCCATCGAGGACCCCCTCCTAGCATGTAGACAGCCAGCTCCTCGCTGTATCTTCACATAGCCAGGAGGGGAGAGGGAAGGGGAAGCAAGCTCTCTGGTATCCCTTCCTATAAGGACACTAGTCCCATTCAGGAGGGTGCTACCCTCTTGACCTAATTACCTCCCCAAAGCCCTACTTCCAAATGCTATCCCATTGGGGATTAGGCTTCAACATACAAATTTGGGAGGGACACAAACATTCAGTCCACAGCAGGCTGTCTACAGCTTTGACTCTTGCAGACTGTGTTGATGTGAAAATCTTTGTATGTGGGATTTAATATGTGTGACTATGATTTCTCCTAAGGATCAGCAAATTATGGCTCACTGTGTGTTTTTTTTCTTTTACTTTTTAAATACTTTATTTTGAAATAATTTTACATTTATGGGAGAGTTATGAAGTTAGTGCAGAGAGTTCCTGTATATACTTTATATACCTTCTCTTGCTTGGTAAATGTCTTACGTAATTATGGTATATTTAAAATGAATAAATTAATGTTGGTACAGTACTGTTAACTATAGACTTTTTGGATTTCATCAGTTTTTCCACCAATGGTCCTTTTTCTGTCATAGGACCCAGTGTAGGATACTCTATTACATGTAATTGTCGTATCTTAGATATGAAGCAAACTTGCCAGCTGTAGTACAGTAGGTGCACACTGTGTGTAGAGTTTTTTTGTTTTTAGCCTCCTAATATCCGGCCAAATCACTGTTTTCCAAAGCAGCTGCTATGTAGCCTTTTGGGTCTATTTTCTTTCACTTAGAAAAACTCATTTAATAATTCATCCGTGTTGTTACATGAATGGTTTGTTCCTTTTTACAAGTTGAGTTGAGCTTCACATAAAATTAACCATCTTAAAGTGAACAATTCAGTGGCATTTAGTACATTCACAATATTATACAACCACATCTCCCTCCAGTTTTAAAATATTTTCATGATATTTTAAAATATTTAAAATTTTTCGGAAAAAAAAAAAAACCCTGTACCCATTAAGCAGTTACTCCTCATTCCTACCCATACGCCCCCAGCCCCCAGCCTCTGGCAACAACCACCAATTTGCTTTTTTGTTTCTATAGATTTACCTATTCTGAGTATTTCATATGAATGGAAGAATACAATGTGTGACCTGTTTTGTATCTGGCTTCTTTCACTTAACAAAATGATTTTGGTGGGGCACAGTGGCTTATACCTGTAATCCCAGCACTTTGGGAGGCCGAGGTGAGTGGATCACCTGAGGTCAGGAGTTCAAGACCAGTCTGGCCAACATGGTGAAACCCCTGTCTCTACTAAAAGTACAAAATTAGCCGGGTGTGGTGGCACATGCCTGTAATCCCAGCTACTTGGGAGGCTGAGGCATGAGAATCACTTGAACCTGGGAGGCGGAGGTTGCAGTGAGCCGAGATCACGCCATTGCACCCCAACAAGAGCAAAACTCCATCTCAAAAAAAAAAAAAATGTTTTCAGGGTTCATCCATATTGTAGCATGTATCAGAACTTATTTAAATTGTGGTAAAGTATGTATAACTTAAATTTGCCATTTTGATCATGTTTATGTGTACAGTTTAGTGGCATTAATTACATTCACAATATTGTGCAACTGTCATCACTGTTTCCAAAACTTCATCAGCCTAAACAGAAACTCTGTCCCATTAAGCAATAACCCCTCATTTCCTGCTCCTCCCAGCCCCTGCAAGCCTCTCATCTACCTTCTGTCTCCAGGAACCTGCCTCTTCTAGATAACTCATATCAGTGAAATCCTACAGTATTTGTCCTTTGTGTCTGGTTTATTTTACTTGGCATAATGTTCTTAAGGTTCATCCATGTAATAGCATGTATCAAAACTTCATTCCTTTTTTGGCTAATATTCTGTCATATGGACATACACATTTCATATATCCAACCACCTGCTGTGATGGATGGTTATGTTGTTTTCACCTTTTAGTTGTGGTGAATAAATGCTGCTCTGAACATTGGCATAGTATCTGTTTGAGCCTCTGTCTTCAGTTTGGTTGGGTATTTACCCAGGAGGGCTTCTGTCACTTAACAAAATGTTTTTGGCCGGGTGCGGTGGCTCACTGGAGGAGAGTAGCTTGCTGACCGCTGGTCTTGAGTGTGTGTCTAGAAATGGAATTAGTGGGTCATGCAGGATGCAACTCTACCTTTATTGGATAATGGTAGGCGGAATCCCAAAGTGCTTAGATCACAGACAGCACTTGGTTTTATCAGAGTTTTAAATTTTTGCCAATTTGGTCCATGTGTGATGGTGTTTTATTGTGATTTTAATGTGTATTTCCTGATTTCTACTGGAGTTGAACACCTTTTCACGTGTTCATAAGCATGTGGGTTTCCTGTTTTCTAGCATGCCTATTAACTTTCCTGTTGGTGGTTTGCCTTTCTAAATTAATATTGACTAATTAATATTCCAAAAATGTTTACTCTTTGTGTTTCTGCAGAACAAATAGTGGAGAAAGATGAAGGTCCATATTATACTCACCTGGGATCTGGCCCCACAGTCGCCTCTATCCGGGAACTCATGGAGGAGCGGTGAGTGATACACAGATGTCCAAGGAGAAACGGGTGTGCTGTTAATGGAAGTGGATATTAAGCACCTCTCATTTTTCATTGCCTTGTAATAGAAAGCATACAGAAAGGAAGCCCTGATAACTGGGTTATGGAAGGCTGACTGTGGGATCCTCACTTCCATTGTTTCTGGGTTTCTTTCATTCTGTAGGTCTGCCCAATTCATGTACCCCTGCTTCTGTCTATCTTGAAATGTTTTTATTGAAGAAACATGGTTATATGGCTCTATGTCCTGTAGAGTTAGTTTCCTACAGCCTGAATTTTGCTGACAGCTTTCCCGTGGTATTGTGGTATCATTTATAATGTTTCGCATGCCTCTGTGTCCTGTAAATTGGTAGTTAGACCAAAAGCCTTGATTGGGATCAGGTGGTTTTTCCTTTTTTTCCAAAACTGCCTCATAGGTAGAATTTTTTACCTCCCCTAAGAGGAATGTCATGTCTCACTCCTGGCCAGTGGGAACCTACTCAGGTTGTCCCCTAAATCCTTTGGACAGGATCATAGGAGTCTTTCATAACTTTCTTGATTTCTCATATGACAAGATATCCTGGGTTCACATTGTACATTTATCCAAGAAGTCCCGGTTCTTTTTCTTGGAGGAAAAAGTATTTAGAAAACAGACTCTGCCTACTAGGGGCACTCATGACTACACGGGGTTGTTCATTGTTTTTAGGCTGCTAAAGTAGAAAGAGCTATGTTGAATCTGTGGATTTTTCATTCTTGTTATTGCTTAGTGATTACATACATCATGAGTTTATATTGACACTCCCAATTCAAATTCAGGACTCTAGGGTTTCTGTTTACTAGTTGTGGTTTTTGAGCAGTTCATATAGATGGAGACTTGGAAACCCATGTGCATGTCCACAGCAGTTAGTAAACTCTCTGAGTTCCAGTCTATGGCTCCGGGCTGAGAGCAGGGACTTGAGCCAGACTGAGGCCCAGTCCTGGCCCTGCCACTCACTGCTGAGTCCCTAGCAAGTTGTTCTGCTCTTCTGTGACTCAGTTTTCTCATCTGCAAAATAGAGATGATGATAAAAATACTTAGACTGTAGGAGTGTCGTGAGGATAAACTGAATTGATGTGTGGAAAGACTTAGTGTTTGTCATGAGTACTACAGAAAAGGTAGATAGTCATTAACTACCTCACAGACAAATGCACTAATTGCATTTTTTCAAACAAGCATTAGTTTTTGTTTTGTTTTGTTTTGTTTTTGAGATGGAGTCATGCTGTAGCCCAGGCTGGAGTGCAGTGATGCAATCTCAGCTCACTGCAAGCTCCGCCTCCCGGGTTCACGCCATTCTCCTGCCTCAGCCTCCCGAGTAGCTGGGACTACAGGCGCCCGCCACCACACCCGGCTAATTTTTTGTATTTTTAGTAGAGACGGGGTTTCACCGTGTTAGCCAGGACAGTCTTGATCTCCTGACTTCATGATCCACCCGCCTCAGCCTCCCAAAGTGCTGGGATTACAGGCATGAACCACCGCGCCCGGCTGCGTTAGTATTTTAATAATGAAAGCTAAGATGATGTAGACATAAGCATATGCTTGCCCATACATATACATACAAATACGTTAAAAGCTGCGTGGCTTAGAGTTGCTGCAAATTTGGGAACAAGATTTTGTCTGACCATGGGAGCCAAATACTTTTTTTTTTTTTTTTTTTGACATGGAATCTGCTCTGTCCTCCAGTCTAGAGTGCAGTGGTATGGTCTCGGCTCACTGCAACCTCCACCTCCCAGTTTCAAGCAATTTTCTTGTCTCAGCCTCCCGAGTAGCTGAGACTACAGGTATGCGCCACCACTCCCGGCTAATTTTTGTATTTTTAGCAGAGACAGGGTTTCCCCATGTTGGCCAGGCTGGTCTCGAACTCCTGACCATAGGTGATCCGCCCGTCTTGACCTCCCAAAGTGCTGGGATTACAGGCATGAGCCACCATGCCTGGCAAGGAGCCAGATACTCTTGTCTGTGTAGCACAGAACATGATTTTGAACTGAATGACTACAACAGCTTCTCTGAATAAATGAAAAGCAAGATACATGGAGGACAGTGATCTACAGTCATCACTCTTAATTTCCTAGACCATCTGGGAACATTTATATTCACCAATCTGTGAATTCTAGCCTGGTATGAGGGCACTTCTGAGTCAATGAGCATAAGACAGATTTGAAGCTGTGTAAGTGTTGTCATGCTTGCCTGCATGTGCTCACATCCCTGTGTGTTGTAGTTTGCATATTAGACCAGGCAGCTTCTGGGCCAGTGATTTTTGTAAGGAATCCTGACACTATCATTTGCTGCAGGGGAGTCAAATGTACAAGTTTGATCTGGGGCAGGTTTTTTGTTCTGGGGCATTTTGGGGTAACAATTTTATAAGATTTCCAGACAGCTCTCTTAAACAACTTTTCATTATAGAAAAGTATTTTGAAACAAGGATCAAGAGATCTTTGAAATTTGGTAAGATAAGGTTGAAATATGTCTTTTTCCCCACCCCCCAATTGCTTTAAAAATAACAGCCAGCTGTAGATTCTTCAGAAACTGATCCAAGGGAGGAATTCCTCTCAAGACCAGGAATACTTGTGTTTTTCCTTAGCAACTGGTTTATTTTTATCTTAAGGACCTTGCAAATCATGTAACAGATTGCAGTTCCATCTTTATGTTGCCTGCTAGTAAACTTGGAGCCAGATTTGTGTACCCCATCAGGAGGAAGGTAATTTCTCATCTTTGGCCCATAGAACCTATTCAGGTTTATTCCTCTGGGTTTTTTTGTTTGTTTGTTTTATTTTGTTTTGTTTTTGACATGACCCTAACAAGCCTTTTTTGGATTTCTCATATAACAAGATATTCCAGGCTTATCTCTCAAAAATACACACAAAATCCCACTGTTTGTATTTTGTATGCCAGCGTACCTTTTTTTTTGCCCTTATCTTGTAGATATCTTCATAAGATCCTTTCTGGAACAAGGGGAGTAATGAGTGATTGATGCATATCCCCTGGGTAGGGATCTAGTTTGTGAATGGTGGGTATAGTTTGTGAATGGCAGGTCTAGGCTGTCTCTTTTCCTAGACTGTTCCTCAACCCTTTCTCTTCAGGACTGCTCTGCTGTCAGGAGTTGGCTGAAGGCAGGGAGGGGAAATAAACTGAAATCAGGAAAACCTTGTTCTCTTAGCTTTTTCAGTAAAGATTTGGAGAAAGGAGGGGAAGGTTGAAAGCAGATCCTAAAATTTCCCAACTTATTTATGAGCTTCATACTTTGTGGGTACCCAAGTCCTTATCTTCATAGATAATTGGAGTCAGTTGTCAAACCCGTATCTGAGACTGGTGCCCAGCACAGAGCCTTGTGTGTTCTGTCTGGGAAGGAGATTCCCTGCAGCCTAGGAGTTCATTAAAAGCTTGTTCTAGAAACAAAGAACCAACACTGTGCTAGCAGGTTCTCTGAGATTTGGGGAAACTGGTCTTGTTACTGTGTGGTAGAGACAATCCTGAACAGGCAAAGCCTCAGAGCAGTGGTTGTCAGATTTCAGTGGGCCTCAGAGTCTCTAGAGGGTTTGTTAAAACACAGATGACTGGGCCCCACCTAAGTTTCTGACCCAGCAGGTCTGGGATGGGACCTGAGAATCTGTGTTCCATTCCTACCAAATTTCTAGGGGATTCTGATGCTGCTGGCTCTGGGACCACCCCTGGAGAGCCAGTTATCCTTTAGAATAAGATGATTGGCTTGGATAATTAGTTATCCTTTAGAATAAGATTTCAGGCTATCTATGCAGACTTAGTTGAGGGTCTGATAGTTAATCTGAATACTAGAAGGGCCTCTTCATGATAGGCCAAAAAGTGAGGCACTTAAGAAGAAAGAGCTAAAGTGAGAGTTGATTGGCTGTCTTTAAACACAAAGAGACAGTCAGTTCTGTTTTGTTTGTTGTTGTTGTTTTTTTTTAAGTCTAGCTGATGAGACAGTGCTTGGCCCTTTTATTTGTCTAATGCGAGGTTCACTGCAGGACACATTTCTCACAGGGGCGGGATGGTGGGGAAGGACCTGGTTGGAAAGCGGTGGCAGTGTCCTCAGCTCACCCTCCTGCGAGGAACGCGATAGTGCTTCCGTCTCAGCGAGAGGAGTGTGGTCACCTCAGGCTGTTCTCCCGACAGAGATCTCCAGGACACACCAGGGGCCCAGGCCCTGCCCTTATGGGTGGCTTCCTGATAAATGCTTGTTGAAATGAAAGTTGTCCAGGAACCAGACAAAAGCAGCATTATGTGTTCTTTAACTCTTCATCCAGATCACGCTATATAAACTCCTGAGTCCTGTCTCCAAACACTTTCTATAAGAGACTAACAGAGCCTTAGAATTTTAATGTTGTAATTATCAGAAACACTTTTCATCCTTTTGCTAAGATCTTGAGTGAAATAGAGAACATGGAACTCAGAGGAACCTTAGATCAGCATTTAAAAAAAATCTTTGTGGGCTGACAAGAGCTTGTTTGAAAACATTAATTAGTTAATTTAAAAAAATTATAAACTCTGTTCTCTTTTTCAATTACAAAAATGAACCAAAGGCTTTAAAAGTCTAAAGAATGAGTAAAGCTCTAAAGTTTGATGTTATTTTTCAATATTTTCTAAGCATTTACAAAGATATTTGTATATATACAGATATAAATGTATTAAATATGTATATAGAGAAGTTTTAAACCAAATGTAGTCCGTTATAATATACCCACTGTCTGTAGCTTGCTTTTCCCCCCCACTTAATTTCTTTCCATGTCAGTACATACAATTCTACCTAATCATTTTTGATGGGACATGGTTTTTCATTGCATGAAAATTGATGGTTTTTTTGGTGAGGTTTATTATAATGTATTTAACCAGTCTCATGGTAGACATATAAGTTGTTTCATTTTTCTGTTGTTGATGAGACAGTGAATTATCTTGTTCCTAAAGCTTGGTGCATTTGTACAGTTATTTGTGGGGTGGAGATTCCTAGAAGTGGAGTGGATAAGATAAAGAATATGTGTATTCTGAACTGTAGAAGCTGTGATAACGTTAATGCTCTATGAAATAGTATATTAAAATAATATGCCATGATCAAATTGAATTTATTACAGAAATACAAGGATAGTTAGATTCAGACAAGCTGTTAAAATAGTATGCTGTTAATTGATCGAATAAAAAACATTTAATCATCTGTCTCCTTATATGTTAAAAATACATTTTATAGGCCGGGCGCGGTGGCTCAAGCCTGTAATCCCAGCACTTTGGGAGGCCGAGACGGGCGGATCACGAGGTCAGGAGATCGAGACCATCCTGGCTAACACGATGAAACCCCGTCTCTACTAAAAAATACGAAGAAAAAAAAAAACTAGCCGGGCGAGGTGGAGGGCGCCTGTAGTCCCAGCTACTCAGGAGGCTGAGGCAGGAGAATGGCGTAAACCTGGGAGGCGGAGCTTGCAGTGAGCCGAGGTTGTGCCACTGCACTCCAGCCTGGACGACAGAGCCAGACTCCGTCTAAAAAAAAAATACATTTTATAAAAATAATTCTTAATTAAAATCCTTAGGACAGGAGAATCTTAGTAGCACCCTTCATATCTGTCTCTTTCCCAAAGTTAGCCAGTTTCATGCTCAGTGATGAATTGTTGGAAACATTTTCAGTTAAAGTCGGGAAGTAAGCAGAGATGCCTGCAAGCCCTTCAGAAACCTGGCCAGGCCTGCCATGCGTGGCTCACACCTGCAATCCCAGCACTTTGGGAGGCCAAGGCGGGTGGATCATGAGGTCAGGAGTTCAAGACCAGCCTGGCCAACGTGGTGAAACCCCATCTCTACTAAAAATACAAAAATTACCTGGACGTGGTGGCGGGCGCCTGTAATCCCAGCTACTCGGGAGACTGAGGCAGATAATTGCTTGAACCTGGGAGGCAGAGGCTGCAATGAGCTGAGATCGCACCACTGCATTCCAGCCTGGGTGACAGAGTGAGACTCCGTCTCAAAAAAAAAAAAAAAAGAAAGCACCTGGCCGTCTCAGAGAGACAAGAGTCAGGCTAGAGATATAAAGAATAGAAAGGAGTAGGTGGCAAATGACCATTATCTGCAGGTGATATGACATTGCACCTGAAACTAAAAAACTGTTAAAAATAAGATTCTGTAAGATTTTTTACATTATTAAAAATAATTACTGTTTATTGGACTCTTCCCTCATGCCAGGAACTTCAGAGTACTTTAAATAATATACTCCCTGTGGACTATTGTTTGATCTTTACCAAGCCCAGGAGGTGGGGATCATTTTAATTTCCATTTTACAGATGAGAAAACTGAGGCTTAGAGAAGTTCAGTAATTTGGCCACAGTTATATAGCAAGAAAATGGCAGGGCTGGCACTCAAACCCAGTCTGTCTGACGTCCAGGGCTGTGCTTAGACCACTGCTGCCTCTTTGTAGTTGTGTGACCTTGGATAAGTCAGTTCAACTCCAGGGGCCGCAGTTGCACCATCCTGAATATAGTGTGGTTGATTAGACGGTCCTGGAGAGCTGGGGTTCTGATGCCCTGAGTGTGTATGGGGGCCAGGGCAGGTGGCATGTACAGGAACCAGATGTGTTTACTGTCCAGGAGAACCTCAGAGCTGGTGTTTGGGCTTAGTCGAGCCACTTCTCCCCAGCCTCAGCTGTTTGTCATCATCATGGTCAAATGTCAGCTGGGGATTATTCAAAGAGAATAATAAGGATTCCCCCATTTATTGTATTTGTTATATTTATAAATAGCTAACTCTCAGGGTGACTCAGCTAACGGCTAGATACAAATGCCCGTGTTTAGCCTTTAGTTTCAGTTCCCTTCTGGAGTTAGGAGGTAACAATCAGGGACATTCTGCTCGACTCTCCTTCTGCCCTGGATCAGAGGGGGCCCGATGGGCAGGAGCAGAGAAGGGGCAGGTGAACCTGGAAGCCTGGAAGTGGCCACTGTGTCTCCAGAGCCTTTAGGTACCAAATAACATTTAAACCTTTGTCTTTCTTTTCTGTTGCCCCAACAGCAACCAGAAACTCAAACAAAAGCACACTGAGGCTGCCTTCTGACCAAAAGTTGTTCTCCTTTGGGGTTCTGCTGTGCTAATGGTGGCTTCTGTCTCCCTCTTCAGGTATGGAGAGAAGGGGAAAGCCATCCGGATCGAGAAGGTCATCTACACGGGGAAGGAGGGAAAGAGCTCCCGCGGCTGCCCCATTGCAAAGTGGGTGAGTGTCGAGCCCACTCATGAGCCACGGCTGTGCCTGGTTCCCCTTGCTGCGTGTAGCTGAGCGGGCAGGGGCGGGGGCCAGGTGGGTGTGTAGGAGACAGCATGCTGGCTGTCCAGGGGAGCCTTAGAGCTGGAATCTGGCTCAGGGTTAGGGTCATTTCCCCCAGCCTCAGCCATTTGTCCTCATCTTGTTTAAATGCCAGTCCCCGGGTCTTGGGCCGGCCTTGGAACTGTGTTAGTCTTCACACTCGGCTCATCCTGTCCCTGTGGCTCAGGGCCGGAGGGGTAGGAAAGAGGAAGCTGGAGATGCTGTCATGACCCGATGGTGGACCCCACTGTGGACTGTCAGACTCCTCGTCCCCTTCCATATGCCCTGGAGCTGCCAGTGCTTTTGTCTGCTGCTTGGAAGCCAGAGACAAACCTGAAGGCGGGCATGCTGAGATCCAACCTGAGGGGAGAGGCCAGGGCTCCGGGCAGCACTGTGGGCCAGTCTTGCCTCTGCCCTGCTTCTAAGCAGTTTCCTACCAGGCAGCCTAGATATCTCCGCAGGGAGAACATCAGTGACTCAGACCCTAAGTCACCAAACAGAGTCCTTCTGACCTTGCCCTCCCAGTCCACAGGGAGATCTTTAAATAGCAGAGCATCTGCCTCTGCAGAACAAGTGCTGAGGAGGAGCAGCCAGGTTCCTCGGGTGCCTGCAAGCTCAGCCTCGTGCTGTGCTGGGCAGTGGGTATGGGTGGAAGACGAGGGCTCGGTCCTTGTGTTCAGCCTGTTTGTGCTCTAGAGACACATGAAATAAAGTCGTGGAGACTGGGGTCATTGAGAGGCAGACTTGATGCTGCAGTTCAGAGGAGGAGGAATGCTCAGGCTAGGTTTCCCGAGGTGGGCGTGCCGGGGGCCATGAATACTGACTGGTCCGTTATTAGTCAGGCTGAGGAGAGGGAGGAAGCATTCCCAGTGAGGAGAATTGTGTGGGCAAAGGCAGAGGGGCTGGGTGGACAGACCCATGGCTGGCTGTGAGGGAGGTGGATAAGATAACCCCTGTCAGTGTACGTCCATCCATGCATGTTGTAGGAAATTCTGACATATGCTATAGCATACATAGGACATATGTGCCTGTTTTTACCTGGTATACACTCTGTGCCTTTGTGTCTTTGTGTTTGATGAAAATAAAAGGCGTCTGAACTTTTGAACTACCAAGTTTACTATTTTTAGCAATTTTTAGTCAGCATTGCAGAATTATGTACAACCAAAGAATCTGGAATCACTTCATGTATTCATAAGTATGAAGAAGCAGGCTGCCCGCACCGTCGTGAGAGGTGGTCATTGCAGTGAGAAGTCTGATGTGGCTCATCATGGTGGGGTGTAACCTCCCCAGAGAACCCATCAGAAAAAAGATGTCAGCCCTAGAGTGACAGCTGCCACTTTCTCCTGCTAATTCATGCAGTCATTGAGGAATTCCAAAGTCTTGGACATAAAAATGAAGATCTTGGAGCATAGGTAGAGTTGGAGACTTTTCCAGCTTCAAGACAGTTGGCCCCTTAAAGAATAGCTGGTCCTGTGGGTGGCATTAAAGAAGATGCATTTCTAGACCCCGGATACAGTGGTAAAGCAGTAAGCCCTGCCCAGGGCTCATGTGGCCGCGCTGAGGGCTGGGAAGAGCATGTTTGCCTAGAGAGCAGGGCCAGTTCCTGGGGCTAGGAGAGGAAGGCAGGAGGATGGAGAGGCAGGAACTTGGTCCTCAGTATGCCATTGCTCTGGGGTCTGTGGACGGATGTCCAGATCAGGGCGCGTGGGGTGCAGTGAACTGGAAGTTACATTCAAGTAGGGAATAGCTCATGGGTGTCACCGAGCCCTGGTGGGTGAGTATAGAAGGTGCTGTGATAGTGTTTGCAGAGGGTGGGACTTCCCATGTCTGATGAATGAAGAGAAAAGGAGAGGAAATATCTTTTTTTTTTTATGGGAGGAGCAAATGGGTGGTCAATCACAGAACTATTGTAGTGGCAAGAAAATGGCAGTGCTGAGGGCTTTTTTTTTTTTTTTTTCCTAGCCATCTCCTTTAGTGTGGTGGAGTTCTGGGGTTTTCTTTTGGCTACAGAGCTGCCAAATACCCTGTCTTTTGATAAGAGGGCTTGGTTTAGAGAGTTCCACCTCCTTTGGAAGTTGGAGAGGGGTTGGGTGCTCCTTCTTCCTGCCCTGTGGGGAAAGTGACCCACAGATCCTTAGAAGGACGGATTATTCTTGGTGGCAGTGTAGTGTCAGGAGCCCAGAGCCAGTTCTGTGGCCATACGTGAGTACAGGCATCCAGTGCCTCCTGTGCATGTCCCCACCCTGCCTGGTCCCGTGTCCAGAGCCTGGCTTTTGTTTTCCAACCAGGATTTGTGCCTCTTTCAGCCTCTCCCTAGCCCCCAACCATACCTTCAGCTTAAAGCAGTGTGCCTCACATGTTCTACACTTGACTGGCCAGGATTCAGGGCCACAGTGAAGGCACATCATGGGTACCCAGCAAATGTGTGTTGATAGGATGACCTAGGAAGCAGTGGGTCAGCCCAGAGAGCCCTCTGGTCATCTGTGATTTTAAGGTGGCCTGTACAAAATGTGGGAGATTCCAGGCGTGCCCTGGTTGCACTCTGAAGGCTCAGAACAACAGAGGCATGCCAAAGGCAACACCTGGTACAGTAAGATGGGCTCTGGGAAAGAACTCCAGAGATGCTGCCTGTACCGGTGTGTAAAGGTCACAGAGGTCAGAAGGCAGGTATTTGTAGGCTCATTAGGGACACAGTGAAACAGACTTAGGAAGCCACAGGTGTTAGAACCAAGCACCATGGTGGGAGCTGTGGGAAGACAGGGTTGGGGTTCTGCTGGGGGTTGTGTTACTCTTGGTCTGGTGCTCAGGGAATTCTGCCCAGAAGCTGGATGAGCTGTTGAGGAGTCTGTGGCTGAGTTGGAGCCGTCTCTGTTGCTCTACTCAGGTATGGATGTTTTTGTGCCTCTGTCAGCCTTTGACTTGGACATTTTTGTGTGTGTTACCCTGCCAGGCTCCTTCATAGGTGTGTGGGTAGGGAACTCCTCTGCGCAGTTTTCTTAGTTTTTTTAGTGGACCCACGGGCCTGTGAGGATGGGCCACAGATAGCTGTCTGCTTGTGTCCAATGACATTGCGTGTTTGCCATTTGGGAAGCCAAAATAGCATGGCCTCAGTCACAACCATGACTGGTTGGGTGACTTGTGCGCTCTGAACCCTCTCCCATGAGTGTGATTGGCTGTGTTCCTCCTGGCCAGGAGCGGAAGTTGACCTTAGTGCCTCGCAAACCCTAGTCGCAGAGACCACGGCCTTATCAGTGTCCACAAATGTGTGTCAATGCCCGTGATGTACTCAGCCTAATCTGCAGGAATCCAGGCAGTCACACAGGGAGTTCTACACAGTATCTGATTTAATACTGTGTTCAGGTGTTACTGATACCCAAAATACACATTTCAAAAGAATGATATAATTGATGCTTTAGTGGGGAAGCACCATTCTTGCTGGGCCTCAGAGCAGGAATTCATGGCCAGAAATGTGTTTTGTTCAGCATGCAGAGTATCCTTTCAGAGTCTGAAGGAAATTCTGGCACATGCTACAGCATGGGTAGGACATTACATTAAGTGAAATAAGCAAGTCATAAAAGGATAATTACTGTATGATTCCACTTACATGAGGTACCTAGAACAGTTAAATTCAGAGGCAGAAAGTAGGCTGGGCACAGTGGCTCACGCCTGTAATCCCAGCACTTAGGGAGACCAAGCGGGCAGATCACCTGAGGTCAGGAGTTCAAGACCAACCTGGCCAGCATGGTGAGACCCTATCTCTACTAAAAATACAAAAAATTAGCCAGGCATGGTGGTGCGCGCCTATAGTCCCAGCTACTCTGGAGACAGTGGGGAGAATCGCTTGAGCCCAGGAGGCAGAGGTTTCAGTGAGCTGAGATGGCGCCACTGCACTCCAGCCTAGGCTACAGAGCAAGACTCAGTCTCAAAAAAAAAAAAAAAGAAAGAAAAAAGAGAAACAGAGGCAGAAAGTAGAACAGTGGTTTCAGGAGAGGAGAATGGAGAGTTCCTTAATGAGCAGTTTGTTTTGCAAGATGAAAAAATTTTAGAGATGGGTGGTTGTGATGGTTGCACAGCAGTATGAATGTACCTAATGCCACTAAACTGTGTACTTTGAAATGATACAATGATAAATTATATATTTTACCACAGTTAAAAAAAAATGGAGCACTCACGGTTTTGGAGAGGGATTTTATGTAAAATCTGGATTTCCATTTTTTTCTTGCAAAATTGGAAGAATTAGCCTCACTGGGCTGGAATTCCCCAGCATGGTAGTTGATGGCAATAAGGCCTGGCTTCCCCCTGTTCACGGGCAGGTGCTTTTCACTTTGCCGCCGTCCGCACCACCCACTAGTCCTGCATCCGGCCCACCTTCCTCATATGTATTACCTGCCTGGCTACCCCTTTCAGGGTCTCCCAGCACGGACCCACTCGTGACCAGGTCTGTCTGCAACCCAGCATCTCCTGACCTCCAGACCCACTTGGAGGGGGTATCCTTAGAGACCACTCAGGTGCTCTAAGGCAGTGGTCCCCAACCTTTTTGGCACCGGGGACTGGTTTCATGGAAGACCATTCAGGCATTAGATTCTCATAAGGAGTGCACAACCTAGGTCTCTCACATTCGCAGTTCGCAACAGGGTTCGTGCTCCTATGACAATCTAATGCTGCTGCTGCTCTGACAGGAGGTGGAGCTCAAGTAACGCATGCTCGCCTGCTGCTCACCTCCTGCTGTGCTCGCCTGCTGCTCACCTCCTGCTGTACAGCCCAGTTAACAACGTAACAGGCCACAGACCCAGTCAGTACAGGTCCGCACCCCGGGGGTCAGAGACTCCTGCTCTAAAGTACCTCAACCTCAGGGTGCTCCCAGTTAACTCGCCAGTAAACCACACCCATACCCACACAGTCTCCTGAGCCACAAGGTGTGGAAGTCACTCAGGGTTTTTCCTTGTCCCTCAGCCTCAGGAATCCATTCTTTCTCCTGTTTCATTACCCCCCACCATAGTTAGGACTTTATTCATTTTGCTTGCATTATGTCAGTGGTGTTCCAGCTGGTCTCCCCTTCTTGCCCTTCTCCCGATTTTTCTGCCCCGCCCCCTTTCTAAAGCATGAAACTCTTTATGTAAGACCCCTGCTCACTGTCCTGCGTGGAGCCCCTGCCTCAAGGCCTTGCCCCTGAGCCTGACACTGGGAGCCCTTCCCAGTCAACCCTCATCCTTCCCCTGCCCACAGGCCCCCGCATCTTCTCTGGCCACGGAATTATCTGGCATTCTCTGGCAATTTTCAGCTACCTCCTTCCCCAGCTCCCAGGCCTCTTGGCCCTGACATCTTTTTTTAAACCAGGACAGTGTTTGGGAGTGAATGAGAACCCAGACCTCAGACCTGGATCCTGAGCAGCAGAGCAGTAGATGCCCAGGACTCTCGCTTTAAAAAAAAAAAAAAAAAAAAAGGTAGCTTTATTGAGATATAATGCTCATACCATACAGTTCACACATTTGAAGCATACAATTCAATGGTTTTTGGTGTAGTACATTTTTAAATTGTGGTAACAGTGTATAAACAGGCTGGGTGCAGTGGCTCATGTCTGTAATCCCAGCACTTTGGAAGGCTGAGGCAGGAGGATCACATGAGCCCCAGCAGTTCAAGACCAGCCTGGGCAACATAGTGAGACCCCCTGTCTCTTAAAAATTTTTAAAAAGTTAGCTGGGCATGGTGGCATGTGTCTGTATCCTAGGTACTCAACAAGGCTGAAGTGGGAGGATCACTTAAGCCCAGGAGTTCGAAGCTGCAGTGAGCTATGATCATGCCACTGCACTCCAGCCTGGGCAACAGAGTAAGACCCTGACTTTTTTTTAAAACAAAACAAAACAAAACAAAAAAAACTGTGTGTGTGTAGAAATAAAATCTAACATGTTAACCATTTTTCAGTGTACAGGTTGGTGGCATTAAGTACATTCACGTTGTTGTACAAGCATCAACATAGTCTATTTCCAGAACTTTTTCAACATCCCATACTGAAACTCTGCACCCGTCAACGATAGTTCCCCATTCTCCCTTCTCCCAGGCCCTGGTAAACTCTAATCTACTTTTTGTCTCTCTGAATGGAACTGTTCTGGGTGCCCATATCAGTGAAATCATACACTATGTGTCCTTTTGTGTCTGGCTTATTTCATTTAGCATGTTTTTGGGGTTCATCCATGTTGTAACATGGATCAGAATTTTGTTTCTCTTAATAATTTTGTTCTTATTAAGGCTAAGTAATACTTGGTTGTCTGTCTATACCGTGTCGTACTTACCTGTTCATCAACCGATGGACGCTGGGGGTGCTTCCACTTTTTGACTGTTGTGAATAGTGCTGCAGTGAACGTGGGTATTCAGGGATCTGCCTGAGTCCTGCTCTCAGTCCCTTGAGTGTATTCCTAGGCCTGGAATTGCTGGATCATATGGTGATCCTATGTTTAGCTTTTGGAGGCATTGCCAGACTGTTTTCCACAGTGCCAAGCCCCTTGCATGTTAACTAAAAACACACAGGTATGCGGCATTTTCTCTGCAAATGTTTTAGGATAACATAACAATCTGACTGTATTTTGACTTACGGTTTTTATCTGTGTACTTTTATTCCTAAGCCTATGTAAGTCATCAGCACCTTAGATTTTGCGGTAATTATCTTTTATGTCACTCTAAATAAATAACTTTTATGTTTTTGTTCCCTAACAAAACATTTGTTCCCCAGTAATGTTCCCTGTTTGTTCCCTAATAATGGTCTCTTAGCTTGTGAGATTGCTGTCATCAGGGCATGACGTCCCTAGAACCCTGCCCTTAAGACCTGCGCCCTGGGTCTGTGTGACAGAGGGAGGGGTGGCACCATGCAGAGGCGCATGGGTACCTGGCTCCTGCCCCTCACAACCTGCATCCCTGCAGGTGATCCGCAGGCACACGCTGGAGGAGAAGCTGCTCTGCCTGGTGCGGCACCGGGCAGGCCACCACTGCCAGAACGCTGTGATCGTCATCCTCATCCTGGCCTGGGAGGGCATTCCCCGTAGCCTCGGAGACACCCTCTACCAGGAACTCACTGACACCCTCCGGAAGTATGGGAACCCCACCAGCCGGAGATGCGGCCTCAACGATGAGTACGTAGCAGGGGGTTGCAGGGCCAGGGCCCACCTATAGGGTCCTGGGCAGCAAATACAGGAGACTGCGGGCAACCCGGGGGAAGGCTCCTAGGGGCCCTCTCTGCGGCACTGTTTGTCTTGCACAGTTAGGACTGTGGTTGAGGAAGGCATATCCACAGATCTTGCTTGAGCTGGGTTCTAGCTCTGGCTCTGGAGGGTCTGCTAATTTGACTTCACTGTTAAACCCCAGGTCGATATACTGGCACTAATGATGTTAGCGATTCTGAAGTACATGTGCCCCACAAATAGAAGGTATCGAAGATATTTATAAAACCTGCCCTTGGCCAGGGGTGATGACCCATGCCTATAATCCCAGCACTTTGGGAGGCCGAGGTGGGTGGATCACAAGGTCAGGAGTTTGAGACCAGGCTGGCCAATATGGTGAAACCCCATCTCTACTAAAAATAAAAAAATTAGTCGGGCGTGGTGGCGCACGCCTGTAGTCCCAGCTACTCAGACTCAGGAGGCTGAGACAGAAGAATCTCTTGAACTCGGGGGACAGAGGTTGCAGCGAGCCAAGATTGCACCACTGCCCTCCAGCCTGGGCAACAGTGAGACTGTGTCTCAAAAAAAACAAAAACAAAAAAACCCTGCCCTTGTTAGAGTTTTTCCCATTTTTAAAAATGAAGATATATTTATTTACAACACGTTTCATCCTCTTAGGTATATAGTTTTGACAAATGTTTACAGTCACATAGCTGCCACTACCACAATCAAGATATACAACAGGGCCGGGCATGGTGGCTCATGCCTGGAGTCCCAGCACTTCGGGAGGCCAAGGCGGGTAGATCGCCTGAGGCCAGGAATTCGAGACCAATCTGGCCATCGTGGCAAAACCCCGTCTTTACTAAAAATACAGGGGCTGAGGCATGAGAATCACTTTCACCCGGGAGGCGGAGGTTGCAGTGAGCCAAGATCGTGCCATTGCACTCCAGCCTGAGCAACAGAACAGGATTCTGTCTCAAAAAAAAAAAAAGGATATGGAACAGTTCCATCTTCCCAAGTGCCCTGTGCCCTTTATAAGCAAGCGCTCTCCTAGCCCTGGGCAGCCACCAGTCTTGTTTCCTGTTCCTGTAGGTTTGCCTCTGTGAGAATGTCACATAAATGGGATCATACAGGGTGTCGCTTTCTGAGTCTGGCTTCTTCCATTGAACATAGTGTTTTCAGTGTTCATCTGTGTTGACGTGTGTGTCAGTAGCTCGTCCCTTTTTATCACTGAGTCGTAATCCACTGTGTGGATCTATCACAGTTTGCTTATCCATTCCCCAATTTGGGGCACTTGAGTTGTTTCCAGATTGTATTAAGCATTAATTTTCATCTCAGTATATTTTGTTGAAAGGTCTGTTGGCATCTGGGCTATAGGAAATAGGCACGTTCAAACCCTGGGGCTCACATCATCTCCCTGTTCATGTAGTCTGTGTTGGAGCTGGTTAAGATATTAGAGTTAAGGGAAAGTATAAACCTTAATAGGTTTTTACCAGATTCTTCCCCCTTATTTCAGTAAATCCATGTGCTGCTCCCAGCAACAGACTGTGTTAAACCTACAGGCTCTCAGTGGTGGGGGCAGAAGAGGCTGCTTAGATCTGGCTTTCTATTCAAGGAAACTTGAGAAAAGGGTTGGGGGCAGGGAAGGATGGGTCTCAGTCACTGGGAGGCTGGTGGGTGCCAGGGCTCAGCAGAGCCACCTCTTGAGGGAGGAGGAATACTCCAGAACGAAGCGATACTGCATCTGTATCCCTGACCTGTGCTGTGTGTTGCAGCCGGACCTGCGCTTGCCAAGGCAAAGACCCCAACACCTGCGGTGCCTCCTTCTCCTTTGGTTGTTCCTGGAGCATGTACTTCAACGGCTGCAAATATGCTCGGAGCAAGACACCTCGCAAGTTCCGCCTCGCAGGGGACAATCCCAAAGAGGTGAGCAGAGCTGGGCAGGGACGCTGCCTCCCACCCTTTCTCACCTGGCGCCCTTCATAGTCCAACGGGAGGTAGGACTGGCACGCCATGACTCAGATGCGCAGGAAGTGGAACTTGTTTTCGTTTTTTTAAAAGCTCACCTTATCTTGCTGTGAAATAAGGGGTGTGTGGAGGGCACCAAATGTGAAAAATTAGACTTAGCAGTTACGGGTGCCCCCAGGCTCTTCCAGTTTAAACCATCTCTTTTAGGTAAATATTCCAGATATCGAAGATACATATTCAAATTCCTTGTCAGAATTTGGCCCTCTCAGAAGTCATTTCTCCCCCCCATCTTCCCAGGACACGTTTCTGGGTGTGAGGTTTAGCAGGAAAGGTCATCTCCGGCATGTGGGCCACCCTCTGGGTCTTTGCTGTACTTCCCGAGGCATCTCCCACCCTGCCTGGCTGCCAGACAGACGTCTCAGGGCAGTTGTCCGGGCCCTTGCAGTCTCCATGCTGGGAGCCTGGCCTGGTCCCTGGGCTGTGGACTAGTGTCCGCACAGTAAGACCGCTAGGCACAGCACGACCGCTAGGCACAGCACCTCCTCTCTGCAGGCTCTTTACCCAGACCCCTGCCCTGCAGGGCCTCCCCCAGCCCCAAGACAACAGGGGAAGGCACCCTCAGGCTATGGGAGCCGGAACATCTGCTCAGGCCGCTTCCCCACTGTTGTTCGTCCTCTGATGCCTGCATGGCAAAAGCCCTCCCAAGCGATGGTCTCCACTCAGCTCCAAATGCAAGGAAGATACAAGCCTGTCCAGGCTGTCTGCCATTTCACCTCCCTCCTGCCTGGGCTCCTGAGTGGGTGGAGTGCTAGCTTCCTTTGCTAGAATATAGACAAATATCCAAATATCTGGACTCAAGTCGCAACCTTCCAAATCTCTGCAAGCTCCTAGTACCAGAAGGACTTCCCACTTCCCATGGCGCAGGGTCACCCTCTGTACACCAAAGCCCCTGTCACCTTCTGTGCTCTGGCTGCCAAGCTTGGGTCCTCATAAGAAAAAAGAAGCATTTTCAAATTCAGAGCTCTTTATTTACCCCAGACCTGGCTTTTAGACTTCAAAATAGTCTAATAGACCTTCAGATAGTCTAATTTGTTATTAGATTTTTATTTATGATAAGATTCACCCTCCCCCACAAGCAGCAGATGTGGTTGCTTCAATGAATGGAGCCCTGGGGCCACCAGGACCTAAGAACTACCAGGAATGGAAAGACGTTGGCTTAATTTCTCTCAAATTCTTTCCCTATTCTACCAACCGCCACTTCCTGTGCTCTTACGATGTGCTAAGCCCCTCACAGGTTTCTCAGATGATTTCATGATCCCCCCACCCCAGTGATCTAGGTGCTGTTACCCCTCACCTTACAGATGAGGCAGATAGCTTCCTCAAGGCCATGTGGCTAGTTCATGGTGAAGGCAGGATTGAAACCCAGGCCTATGTGTCCCTAGAGCTCACTAGCCTCACCGCCTGCTGTGCTGGTGGCAGTATCTGGACAGCAGGCAGGGAGGTAGCCCAGCCTCACTGGCCCAGGCTGGCCTGATCAAGAGTGGCTGGCAGCCCTGGCCACCCCACTGGATATACAACTGAGCTGTGGGTCTCCACCTTCCATTTCTCATTCTGTGTGCTTGGTTCTTTTTCTCTTTCCTGTCTTCCTGCTTGCTGCTTCATAAACCCTTTGTGCCTGTGCTCATGGTGTTCTAGGAGCCCTTCAAGCCCTGCTTGTTTTCAGAGGGCCAGACAGAGGCTGTGGATACCTGGAACTCTCTGCCACATGTCACCAGGGGCTGCAGCTTCACGTAGAGCAGTGCTGTCCCGCAGTGCTTTCTGTGGTGGTGGAAACATTTTCTGCTGTCCATACAGGAGCCACGTGTAGCTGCTGAGTATTTAAAATGGGACTAGTGTAACTAAGGGACTGAATTTCTTTAATTTTTATTAGAATTCAGGCCAAGCATGGTGGCTCACACCTGTAATCCTAGCACTTTCGGAGGCCAAGGCGGGTAGATCACCTGAGGTCAGGAGTTTGAGACCAGCCTGGCCAACGTGGCAAAACCCCGTCTCTACTAAAAATATAAAAGAAATTAGCCAGGTATTGTTGTGGGCACCTTTAATCCCAGCTACTTGGGAGGCTAAGGCAGGAGAATTGCTTGAACCCAGGAGATGGAGGTTGCAGTGAGCCAAGATCGTGCCACTGCACTCCAGCCTGGGTGACACAGTAAGGTTCTGTCTCAAAGAAAAAAAAAATTAGAATTCATCTGTATTTCTGTAGCTACGTGTGGTTTGTGAATAACACAATGTAGTACAAGTCTAGCAGCTGGAGCTTTGAAGTCTGTATCCCTGGCTCCTGACAGGCTCTGGGCTGGGCTGGCCTGCACTGGCTATGGACTTTCTAGCATGGATCCTGCCTGCCTCTCTCTTCCTGTCTGTAGCCTGGGAGGAAGGATCCACAGTTGTTGCTCTTGGCTTTTTCATTCCCACTATGCTTCACCTCTGACTTAGGGTGTTCAGCACGCGAAAGCAAGAAACTGTTTGATGTGTTCTGGGCTGAACTGGGCGGGATCCTGAAGGAGCAGTAGTTTAGCCGTCAGGATGACTAGACCTTCAGGCCGTGGCTTCCACAGCTTTTCCTGGGAGCCTCAGTATCCCCAGCTGTGAAGTGGACACAGCACCACACCTTCCTGAAGGAAAGACCGGAAAGACACCGGATGACACCTCCCTCCCAGCCTCGCCCACGATGCTTCAGGAATGCCAGTCCATTTCCGGGGTGCAGGGTCTGCCAGGCGGGGCTGCTCTGGATGTGTGATTGCTCCTCTCTCTGCAGGAAGAAGTGCTCCGGAAGAGTTTCCAGGACCTGGCCACCGAAGTCGCTCCCCTGTACAAGCGACTGGCCCCTCAGGCCTATCAGAACCAGGTAATGGGCCCCGGCCGGGCCTTTTGTTGCCCACATGTCACCGTCCACATCTCTGCTCAGGCTCTGAAGTTGGGAAGTAGGAGAGTGGGCTCTCTTGCTCTCTTATGGGAAGAGCCCAGTCCAGAAGTAAAGCAATATGATGTAGTTCTTTGATAAAAACCCCTTTTTTATACCAGGCTACCTGCATCCCACACTGTCCCTCTTCTATCCTGATCTTCCCCCTTCCCCTGGTAACCCATCCACCTCCTCTGGTCTGGTATCCACTGGTGAGGCCCGAGTTTCTTTCCCCTGTCACCCCTGTATCTCCTAGATAAGGCAAGGGACCTTGGGATAACAAAGAAGGAAGTAATTCCTACAGGAGCCTGAAAGTAACTTTTTTGTAGCTGGGGCCTCTCAGCCAGAAAACCTCCCTCCTGCAGTCGTAGGGCAAGGTGACTATCATCCTTAACATCCCTCCTTCCGGCCGGGCGCGGTGGCTCAAGCCTGTAATCCCAGCACTTTGGGAGGCCGAGACGGGCGGATCACTAGGTCAGGAGATCGAGACCATTCTGGCTAACATGGTGAAACCCCGTCTCTACTAAAAAGTACAAAAAACTAGCCGGGCGCGGTGGCAGGCGCCTGTAGTCCCAGCTACTCGGGAGGCTGAGGCAGGAGAATGGCGTAAACCTGGGTGGTGGAGCTTGCAGTGAGCTGAGATCCGGCCAGTGCACTCCAGCCTGGGCGACAGAGTGAGACTCGGTCTCAAAAAAAAAAAAAAAAAAATCCCTCCTTCCAAGACCCAGCCTCCCCAGGTGCAGAATTAGGGCCACTCACCTCAGGTCATGTGAGCACCTCTCCTTGGCCATCTACATAGGTGACCAACGAGGAAATAGCGATTGACTGCCGTCTGGGGCTGAAGGAAGGACGGCCCTTCGCAGGAGTCACGGCCTGCATGGACTTCTGTGCCCACGCCCACAAGGACCAGCATAACCTCTACAATGGGTGCACCGTGGTAAGGAAACTTGTGCCCTGTCATAGCGCCACCTGTGGGGCAACTGTGGGAGGGAGTCCACCGTGGTCTGTTCAGAAAGGTGGGCTGAGGGTAGGGAGGGACCTGGAGACAGGACTCTTAGAACTCTGAAAGGTTCCCTGCAAGATGGCCTGCCCTCACCCGCCTCCCAGAGAAAACCATCACCAGAAAACCCTTGAACAGACAAGGCTAGCTTTGTGTCTGTGTCTTAGGGGGATGCTGCAGGATGTAGCCCCTCAAGCACCTGGAGTGCCCAGTTATCTAAAGCGTGGGCCCTGGTCTCTGTGGACACTTGGATTTAAATGCAAACAAACACTTGATTCATTCTTTGGACAAATGTGTATTGAGTACCAGCTGTGCCCAGGCACTGCTCTACATGCTGCGGGATGAAATGGACAAAGTTTCTGCCCAAGTGTGTGTGGGAATGTACTGTAGCAATGAAGACCAAGAGGGAAAAATGAAGTAGGGTGAGGGATAAAGCAACAGGAGATGCTATCTTAGATGAGAGGCTGCTCTGAGGAGGGGACATTTAAGTTGAGATGTGAACGGCGCAAGAGAGTGAGGGAGCCACTTTCTGGGGATAGAGTGCTCCAAGCAGAGGGACCAGCATGCGTGCAGGCTCCGAGCAGGGAGCAGACTGGGTGTATGTTCAGAGAACAACAGGAAGGGAGTAACTTACTGCAAGGGGCAGGGAGAGTGGGATTGGAGAGGCCGGCAGGGACCAGCTCACAGGGAACCTTGAGGGCCAGGGCAGGGTTGTGGGGTTGTGATGGAAGCTGTTGAGGGTGTCTCAGCTGGGCAGCAGTAAGACTGCATTGTAAAGTTAGATACACTCCTGCTGCTGCAGTTAGAGAATGAGGTGTGTGATGGTGGGGGCAGAATGAGGTGAACAGGAGGAAATAAGAGGAAGGAGGCAAAGGAGGAGGCTGGGGCCGCCATCCAGTCCGGAGGGGACACAGCTTGGGCAGGAGTCGGGGGAGGTGTTAATGGGACAGATTTTGGATGATGTGGAAGGGACTGCCAAGAGGATTTGCAGACGGGCTGGATTGTTACGTGAGCGGGACTTAAGGAGCACTCCAAGGCTTTTTGCTTGAGCATCGAGGTGAGTGTTGGTAACATGGACCGAGATGTAGAGTAACAGGGGAAGGCTGAATTTAGGAGTAAGAAAACAAGAGTCCTGTTTCAAGATGCCTGCTAGATGTGCAGGTGGAGATGTGGAGTAGGCAGGGGGCAAGGAGGGTCTGGAGAGCACATGGTTTATAGTTAGAGCTGTGAGGCTGACGCCATCACCAGGGGAGTGAGTGCAGATGGAGAAGAGAGGAGGTTTGGACTTGGGTAGGGGCTTCCTTGAAGGGATGATGCTGGCTGTCTGCTCTGCCTTTTAGTCAGGTTCTGGGCAGACAGGGCTTCCAGGGGCTGAGGATGAGGCAAAGGCACCAGCACATTCCCCTGGAAAGAGGGCTCCCAGATTCCGGGTGTAGCTCATTCCCGCTGGGGATGGATAGACCCACCTTGGGATTTCATTTCTCCACTTGCTTTCTATCCCTGCATCCAAGACTGAGAAGCAAGAAGGGACAGCTCCTGCTGGCACGCTGTTGTGAGGATCTCTAGGTGAAACACACACAGAAAGGGCATGCCCACAGTGTTAGAGAGGCGAAGGAGCTGGGGGACCCTGGAAAGTGGGCGAGAGCAAGAGCACTATGAGGTGATCTGGATCCCAGAGCTTCTAGAGTTTGGGGTGGAGAAAAGGAGTATTTTCTTCCAAAATGAAAAGTATTGTTTTTTCCTAAACAATTCTTTTTAAAATTTAAATAATGTTAAAAAGGTTGCCTGAAATCTCAGAGATAACCAGTTAGCAGTTTGATGACCATCCATTCAGACACCCTAATGTGTATGTGTGCATGTATGACTTTATGAAGTTTTACCCAAACTGGGTCACATTATATATACTTGCTGTTCTGTGACCTGCTTTTCTTAAGCTTTCTGTGTCAACGGACTTCATTTTCTGAGGCTGTATGTATGGCTCTGCCATCATTTATTTAACCAGTCCCCTATCAATGGACAGTAAGTGCTTTCAGACGTTTCCCTTCTGTAAACCACAGGGAGAGGCCATTCTTCTCACATGTTTGTGCAGTGGCGCAGTAACCTCCTTGAGATTGCATTGATGTTTACTTTTACAGGCTTGGGGCGCTAATTCTCCTGCTTACTTGGCAACACTGGATTTTGTCAGTCTCTTTCATCCTTGCCTGCTGCCTGAGTGGGAAACATACGATCTTATTTTAATTTGTGTTTATTTTATTACTAGAGAGGTTGAACATTCTTTTCGTATTTTTTCTTACACATTTGAATTTCATCTTTGTGACTATCCTATTTGTGTACTTTACTTATTTTTTTAATCAGGCTACCCTTACCTTTTGATATTTTCAAAGTATCTCTTGTAGGAAATACAGCTTCTGCCACATCTCATCCTTTGGATTTTTCCTTTGGTCTGTTGTTTATAGCATTAGTCTGACAAACTGGTAGGAAGCAGGTCTGGCCAATCCAACAGAAAGTATACAGGAGGCTGGTCAGAGCAGAGGAAGTCGAAGACCCACATTAGTCTGGGAAGAAACAAGCTGGGTAGGGCATGACACCAAACTCACTTAGAATGCTTCTAAGTTAAAGGGTTAATAAAGTTAGTGCCATAAAAATATAAAGTTTCTGTTCAGTGTAATAAAGTACCATAATAACAATTGCAAGGCCAATGCAAACTGGATACCTTGAGTTATCCTTGAGTTAAGATAAGCAGGTCAGGCCGGGTCCAGTGGCTCACACCTGTAATCCCAGCACTTTGGGAGGCCGAGGTGGGTGGATCACCTGAGGTCAGGAGTTTGTGACCAGCCTGGTCAACATAGTGAAATCCCATCTCTACTAGAAATACAAAAAATTAGCTGGGCATGGTGGCAGGCTCCTGTAATCCCAGCTACTTGGGAGGCTGAGACAGGAGAATCACTTGAACCCGGGAGGCAGATGTTGCAGTGAGCCAAAATCGTGCCATTGAACTCCAGCCTGTGCAACAAGAGCAAAACAAGAGCAAAACTCTGTCTCAAAAAAAAAAAAAAAAGAAAAGCAGGTCAGACTGGGCACGGTGGCTCACACCTGTAATGCCAGCACTTTGGGAGGCTGAAGTGGGAGGCTCACTTGAGCCCAGGAGTTTGAGACCAGCCTGAGGAATATGGCAAAACCTCTTCTCTATAAAAAGTTCCAAAAATTTGCTGGGCGTGGTTGTGCATGCCTGTAGTCCCAGCTACTGGGGAGGCTGAGATGGGAGGATCACTTGAGCCCAGGAGGTTGAGACTGCAGTGAGCCATGATCAAACCACTGCACTGCAGCCTGGGCAATAGAGTAAGACCTTATCTCAAAAAGAAAAAAGAATAAGAAGAAAAAGAAAAGCAGATCACAGAATAGCATGTATATGTAATGTGATCCCATTTGTAGTTTTATATAGCCGTACATGCACACATACACACATACATACATTCAGATGTCTGGGTGGTCATCTAAACACTAACAGTGGCTAATAATTCACAGAGCTCCAACTGCTACAATATTTGCAACAAGTGATAAAGAAATGATAACCTTAATATACAAAGATGACTTCATGATTTAAAAAATGACTAGTCATATATAGTAGTGGGCAAAAGTCATAAAACTCACAAAAGAAGGAAGACAGTGAGAGAATTGTGTTAAAATGGGCCAAGGATTTATTTTAATCAGATATGATAAGACATGCAAACCTGGATAATTTTCAGGAAAGAAGTTTATACTCAGATCCTAGAAACAGAAGGCAGGTCATGCTCCAGGGCCACTCGGGGGAGCACCGGGCCAGTCAGGAGACAGAAGAGGAAGGGTGGGAGCATGGCCCAGAGTCTTTAGTAGGATTTTGCAGGAAAGAATGGGTGATGCAGGGTAGCTACACTGGGGAAGTTTAGGATTGGACAGTTTGAATACTTTGCAGGCTCTGAGCTATAGGGTGGTTCCTCATGGCCCTCTCTCTATAAGGCCAGGGAAATACTGGCTTGGTGTGTAAGTTTGATAAAGGAGATGGCTGGGGGTGTGAGCTCTGGATTTGCTGGTTCATATAGCAAAGGCACACTTGCAGGGAGCCATTTGCTATCTCTGGGAGTTAAGTAGCCCTGGGAGGGGCAGCCTCTCTGGGATCAAGACCTCAAATGCCAGAGCATCAAGAATATAGAAAATAAGAAAATACAGTCAGCACAAGAGTAGAGAGTAAACTTGAATAAAAAGGCAAATCTTGTGAGAAATGTACACCAACAATGAGATCGATTTTAACAGTGAGCAAAAAGTTTTTAAAGAAATTAGTGGGAAAAATATAGGAAAGTTGAAACACATTCTGCTGGTATGAGTGAAAAACCGAATCATTTTTGAGGGTAGTCTGGCAATATGTGGCAGTTCTACTTGACATTCATTCTAAGCAATTAAGAATCTTACAAAATTTAGCTAAAAGGGTATTTCAAAAGGTATTGTTTATGGTATAAAAAATCGGAAACAAGTTAAAATATTTGATAATGAGATTAACACATTGATACAGTAGAATAATATCACACAACTCTTTAATCATATTAGGGGAGAATATTTAATGCACAGGAACATATTTATGCTATGTTAAGAAAAAAATGAAGCTATTGTATGACCATAGGCATAGTATCCCCTTTAATTACCAAAAAGTAATTGTGTACTTGTGTATGTCCACAATTAGATGACCGTGGTATTTAAAGTGATTACTTCTGGGATGGGAGATTTTATTTCCTTTTTGCTTGCCTAAATTTCCTACAATCAGCACATAGAGTTTGTAATAAAAGGAAACTTTTTCTTTTTTTTTGAGACAGAGTTTTGCTCTTGCTCTTGTTGCCCAGGTTGGAGTGTAGTGGCGTGATCTCAGCTCACTGCAGCCTCCACCTCCCGGGTTCAAGCAATTCTCCTTTCTCAGCCTCCTGAGTAGCTGGGATTACAGGCGCCCGCCACCATGCCCAGCTAATTTTTGTATTTTTGGTAGAGACAGGGTTTCACCATATTGGTCAGGCTGGTTCGAACTCCTGACCTCAGGTGATCCGCCCGCCTTGGCCTCCCAAAAGGAAATGTATTTTAAGAGCAAAAGGAGACTGAGTGTTTAGAACCAGGAAGATAATGGTGGCCGGTCTGAGCTTCACTGGGCAACGTGGTGCTGTGGCGTCAGTGCTATGCCAGAGGGCAGAGCAAGCCTCTGGGTCCTGGCCAGGCCCCCTGTCAGGTATCTCATCTCCTCTCAGCCTTCTTAGGATCATAGGAGATAATGTGCATTGAAAGTTGATGAGTGGACTGTAAATGCTGGTAATACTGTTGCCCCGTGAACCAAGATCAGTGTGCTTTCCAGAAACTCTCACAAGTAGTAGTGGCTGGTATTGGGATTGTGTGGGGAAAGACGAGGTCACGTGTTTTGGGTGCTCAGACCCCTCTCTCCCAGCACTTGGTCCCCCAACCCCATGTCCTCTCTCCCCTACTGCTTGGGGCAGGTCTGCACCCTGACCAAGGAAGACAATCGCTGCGTGGGCAAGATTCCCGAGGATGAGCAGTTGCACGTTCTCCCCCTGTACAAGATGGCCAGCACGGATGAGTTTGGGAGCGAGGAGAACCAGAATGCAAAGGTTGGCAGCGGAGCCATCCAGGTGCTCACCGCCTTCCCCCGCGAGGTCCGACGCCTGCCCGAGCCTGCCAAGTCCTGCCGCCAGCGGCAGCTGGAAGCCAGAAAGGCAGCGGCCGAGAAGAAGAAGATTCAGAAGGAGAAGCTGAGCACTCCGGAGAAGATCAAGCAGGAGGCCCTGGAGCTGGCGGGCGTTACGTCGGACCCAGGTGTGGCGGGGGGAGGGTGCCTGCTGGGAGTCACATTGGTGCTGTCCTCATGGGGGCCCTCGCTCTTCCACGCACCCTCCTGCATCACACTGGAACTGGGGGCTCTGCTTATTTGTCAGTCAGAAAGGTATCTGCAGCAGCCACAGGACAGCCAGCCTGATAGGAGGCCATGGGGACACAAGTACAGCAGGACTGGTTATCTGCATGGAACTGAGCTTGGTAGAAGGGGAGCACTGGGTTTCTCCTTTAGTTTGCATCCCCTGAAGAATCAGAGGCCCCACTCTGTGCTCTAGTTTGCTCCCCTCTGAGATAGGTGAGTAGCAGACTTCAGGGCACGTGGGTGTGTGCCAGGGCAGCAGGGCTTATGGGCAGAGGCAGTTGCTGGCAGGCATCTGAGTTCTCATTCTCTTCGCCCTGGTCCCTGCAGTGATCCTGACCGGGCTGGGCAGAGAGTGGGTGGTGGTGGTTTAGTGCAAATTCTAGAGTTCTCTAGGGTGAGGAGAGGAGTCGGTGGGGTACTGTGGACCCTGCATGAGCTGCTTCTCACCAGGGATTGCCTCCTCCCACCCCCAGTGGGGATGGGGCTGGGCCTGTGCTGAGCGAGGCCCAGGAAGCACGTCCTGGTCTGGGCTGGACATGCCTTAGCACCTCACCTGCCTGTCCCAAAAGAGGAAACATCCCTGGGAAAAAGGGAGGGTCCATCCCCAGTTCCCTACCAGGGCCTCTCCAGGGTGTGGTGTTGTCTGCCCCTCTGCCATCTTGCTTTCTGTTTCCCCAGGCCTGTCTCTGAAGGGTGGATTGTCCCAGCAAGGCCTGAAGCCCTCCCTCAAGGTGGAGCCGCAGAACCACTTCAGCTCCTTCAAGTACAGCAGCAACGCAGTGGTGGAGAGCTACTCGGTGCTGGGCAACTGCCGGCCCTCTGACCCTTACAGCATGAACAGCGTGTACTCCTACCACTCCTACTATGCACAGCCCAGCCTGACCTCCGTCAATGGCTTCCACTCCAAGTACGCTCTCCCGTCTTTTGGCTACTATGGCTTTCCATCCAGCAACCCTGTCTTCCCCTCTCAGTTCCTGGGTCCTGGTGCCTGGGGGCACAGTGGCAGCAGTGGCAGTTTTGAGAAGAAGCCAGACCTCCATGCTCTGCACAACAGCCTGAGCCCGGCCTACGGTGGTGCTGAGTTTGCCGAGCTGCCCAGCCAGGCTGTTCCCACAGACGCCCACCACCCCACTCCTCACCACCAGCAGCCTGCGTACCCAGGCCCCAAGGAGTATCTACTTCCCAAGGCCCCCCCAATCCACTCAGTGTCCAGGGACCCCTCCCCCTTTGCCCAGAGCTCCAACTGCTACAACAGATCCATCAAGCAAGAGCCAGTAGACCCGCTGACCCAGGCCGAGCCTGTGCCCAGAGACGCTGGCAAGATGGGCAAGACACCTCTGCCTGAGGTGTCTCAGAATGGAGGACCCAGTCACCTTTGGGGACAGTACTCAGGAGGCCCAAGCATGTCCCCCAAGAGGACTAACAGTGTGGGTGGAAGCTGGGGTGTGTTCTCGTCTGGGGAGAGTCCTGCCATCATCCCCGACAAGCTCAGTTCCTTTGGGGCCAGCTGCCTGGCCCCTTCCCACTTCACAGATGGGCAGTGGGGGCTGTTCCCCGGCGAGGGGCAGCAGGCGGCTTCCCACTCTGGAGGACGGCTGCGAGGCAAACCGTGGAGCCCCTGCAAGTTTGGGAACAGCACCTCCACCTTGACTGGGCCCGGCCTGACTGAGAAGCCGTGGGGGCTGGGGGCAGGGGATTTCAACTCGGCCCTGAAAGGTGGTCCTGGGTTCCAAGACAAGCTGTGGAACCCCATGAAAGGAGAGGAGGGCAGGATTCCAGCCGCAGGGGCCAGCCAGCTGGACAAGGCCTGGCAGTCCTTTGGTCTGCCCCTGGGATCCAGCGAGAAGCTGTTTGGGGCCCTGAAGTCGGAGGAGAAGCTGTGGGACCCTTTCAGCCTGGAGGAGGGGCCGGCCGAGGAGCCCCCCAGCAAGGGAGCAGTGAAGGAGGAGAAGGGTGGTGGTGGTGCGGAGGAAGAAGAGGAGGAGCTGTGGTCGGACAGTGAACACAACTTCCTGGACGAGAACATCGGCGGTGTGGCCGTGGCCCCAGCCCATGGCTCCATCCTCATCGAGTGTGCCCGGCGGGAGCTGCATGCCACTACACCGCTTAAGAAGCCCAACCGCTGCCACCCCACCCGCATCTCGCTGGTCTTCTACCAGCACAAGAACCTCAACCAGCCCAACCACGGGCTGGCCCTCTGGGAAGCCAAGATGAAGCAGCTGGCGGAGAGGGCACGGGCACGGCAGGAGGAGGCCGCCCGGCTGGGCCTGGGCCAGCAGGAGGCCAAGCTCTACGGGAAGAAGCGCAAGTGGGGGGGCGCCATGGTTGCTGAGCCCCAGCAGAAGGAGAAGAAGGGGGTTGTCCCCACCCGGCAGGCACTGGCTGTGCCCACAGACTCGGCGGTCACCGTGTCCTCCTATGCCTACACGAAGGTCACTGGCCCCTACAGCCGCTGGATCTAGGTGCCAGGGAGCCAGCGTACCTCAGCGTCGGGCCCGGCCCGAGCTGTCTCTGTGGTGCTTTTGCCCTCATACCTGGGGGCGGGTTGGGGGTGCAGAAGTCTTTTTATCTCTATATACATATATAGATGCGCATATCATATATATGTATTTATGGTCCAAACCTCAGAACTGACCCGCCCCTCCCTTACCCCCACTTCCCCAGCACTTTGAAGAAGAAACTACGGCTGTCGGGTGATTTTTCCGTGATCTTAATATTTATATCTCCAAGTTGTTCCCCCCCCCTTGTTTGGGGGGCTTTTATTTTCTCTTTGTTTTTAAAACTCTATCCTTGTATATCACAATAATGGAAAGAAAGTTTATAGTGTCCTTTCACAAAGGAGTAGTTTTAAATTCCATTTAAAATGTGTATTTATTGGATTTTTTAAAAGCGACAATAGTAATGGTAAAGGATGGGCAGGAAAGGCCAGTAGTGCTCCCCCACCCAGTCTCGCTGGGTCCGGCGAGCCAAGCCCCTCGGGCACTGGCAAGGTCCTCACCATCTGCCCCTCGAGAGCCAATCGAGGACGGTAGCCACCCAGTTCATCCCTCCCGACACACACCCTTTCCCTTTGGGGAAGGGAGCCTCAGGACAGCCTCTGTCCTCTCTGATAGGATGGGAGAGTCTGCAGAAAACCATCTGGGGTCCCTTTTCCAGTCCCCAGCTTGGAGTCGAGGGGCAGATGCACCCCAGGCCAGCCCTGCGAGATGCTGGCATAGCTTTCCCCAGAAACCAGGTTGGAAGTAGATGGCTTCAAGCTTGCTAGTCTCCACACTGAATCCTCTGTCCGTTATTTATGGAGTCACACGATGTTATGGTTCACTAGGCAGCACCTCACGCTGGAGCTGGAGTGCGAGGTTCTTAGGGGCTGCGCCCACCACGTTGCCAAGCCAATGCATGCTGAGCTGAAGGAATTTGTCTTAGTGGCAGGTTTTTTTTAAAAAATGCCCCCAAAGTCTATGCTGATATCAAAAAAGGGCTACTGTATCTTTAAAAACAGGAAGTTGAACCCAAGCTGTGAAAAGCCAGTGGTGCTCTGTGCATGGTGCTGTGCGGAGCCTGGTGCTGTAGTGTTGTGCTGGGACTTTCTTGACTCTTGGGCAGGTCACATCCTACAGGAGCTCAGCAGACCAGTGTAACAACAGTTAATGCATCTATCCTGATCCCTGAATTTCCACATTGGACAATGGTGCATGCCTCACACCTGAGCCTGCTTCTTCCATGCTATCATCGGGTTCGGGGGCCTACACTTAACAATTTTAAAGTGCAAGAGTCAAACATTTTCAACAGGTTGCTATGATTTTCCTCCCTAATTGGTGCCATTTCTCCATTTGATCATTTTCTTTTTTCCTTTCTTCCCCTCTTCATCCACCTTAACAGACCTGTTCTGAAATTCTGGTGCATTCATTCGGTTCTTTGAAATGAGAATGTGGTGCTTAATTTTTGTGACGTTGTTGAGAGAGGTTGGGCCTGATGGGAGCAACACTCACGGTCACCACGTCAAACTTTGTTGGAGTGTTGGTTTTTCTTGTGATGTTAGCAGAAATGATCTCATGCTACCCGTGTGGATGTGTGTGTGGTGAATGGGGGGCTTCATCAGGACACACAGAGGGGAATGTGGCCACACGGTGGATGACCACCAAGCCCTGAGATGAACAGGTGTTTACTGAGCAGTTGTATTCAGATATGGGTCTTCATGAATCATGTTTAACAATCAGATGACCGCTATAGGCAAGTTCCTGAGCTTCCGGGTGCCTTGAGTAAGAGCTGAGAACCGGCCTGCTGGGTGTTTACTGTATCTGTTTGGAGGCACTGGCGGAGGGTCGTTGTAAGATGTCCTGAGCATTTATGTGGTCTGGTTTTAACTGTAAATAGTGAAAGATTTTTTAAGCACTTTTGCCTAGATTTAAACAGCAACTTGAAAAAAAAAGTATGTTTTAACATGTAATTGTGGGAGAAATTGTAAATAGTAGCTGAATATTTAACGTGCTTTGTCTATCCTCCACTTTTACCATATTCTGTAAAGTTGCATTTATTTTACAGGACAAAAAATGAAATATTATTGCTTTTGAAATAAATACCCAAGAGCTTATCAGGACTTAGAATTATTCAGAACTCAGATTTATAGGAAAACCTCTGACCTTCAGTTTGACAAGCTAAAGGAAGCAGAGTCTTTAATGAGCATGCTAATTTTCTAGTTTTGAGGAAAAATTGGGTCCTTTAAATGCTATTTTGCTTATCGCATCAGTACTTTTATGCAGGTCTCATTTGACTCCGTGCTTAGGTAGATGCGGGGGTGCCTTGAAAACTTCATTTTAAATGATCTTAAGCAAGAAATACAATATTTTACGAAACATTTGGAGAATGTGACCGTCTGTATGACCCGTGGAAGCCCCAGGTTGGCTGTTGGTTTGGAAGGTCCCGAGTGTAACCCAGGTGATTCTGATACTTGGCATGTGTGAATCTTCCTGATGTATGTTAAATAAACTCTTCCCCTCATCACCCTTTGGTAGGAAAGCCATTAGATGAAAGGAGAAACCAATACAAGCTAAAAGCATGCGACGTCTGTCCCCCAGCCCAAACAGCCTTGGTTCATCAGTTTCTACAGTAGGAAATAGGCTGCTGAGAGGTGAGTCAAGAGGCAGTCTCCATTGGATGTCCCCACTCCCCTCAGAATGGCGTTTCCAGAGTTAGGCGGTGCAGTTGCCGTGCTCAAGCCCATGCTGATTTGTACACTACATGTCTAACCTACCTCAAATCTCAGTCATTAAAATTAGCATGCTTTAGACATATATTTAAAAAGTAACTATGCACAGCTCTTTATCCCCCCCTTGCTGCTGAAGGTTTCTTAAAGAGAAAAATCAAATTTTTATTTTTTACTGGCACTATCATTTTTTAAGTCCTAAAGATGATTAACAGACATTTTTATCATGAGAAGAAAAATAAAGCCATTGCAACTAAAGAACCTAACAGCATGACCAAGTTCGAAGAGTCATATTATAGCAACGGAAACCGATGGCGTCTTAGTCATCTCCCCAGTGTGCCCTGTCCACGGACACCATCCATGTGCAGTGCAAACATTTGGTTCCTTTTTCTGCTCTGTTTTGTTTTCCCTGCCTGTTGCGTGCAAGGGAAGTGCTTGTAAAGTTCTGTGCTACGAGATTTTTAAAATAAAAATCGCTTCGCAGCAGGTTCTCACAAAATAACTGGTGCTAGCTCAAGAAATCTCATCATCTGACCATCAGAAATCTTGACTAAAGGCGTTGCATGGATTTGGGGGTTTTTTGGTTTTTGGTTTTGGGTCTGGTTTTTAGCAGGGCCAATGTTTCCCACGCCCCGGCTTCATGGGTACTGCTTTGCCTTCTCACCCAGGTGACGATGGTGTGCGTGGAAAGAGATGATACCCCACCACCCCCTCTTGGTCCTTCCACCAGCCTCTTTTGGAAACAGTAGTTTGGAGAGCAAGGGATTTTTAAAGCGCTAAAGGAAAGAAGTAGCAGAGCTTAACTGCTTTGTACCACACAGCAGTAGATGTGCAAGGATGGTTGACAATGAGTCGATGATAGCCTAATTTCATTGAGAGAAACCCAGCCAGACTTGCTTCTAGAGGTTTAATCACCATGAGATCTCAAACCAAGGCAAAGCTGGTGGAAAACTATGATATCCCTGACGTGCCTCAACCAGTATCTCTTTCCTTTTGTTACTGAAGTGTGTTTTGTGGACTAGGAAGCATTTTTATGAATTGAAATAGTCTAAATAAAATGGTGCTATGGTGTTTTAATGTGACTGTCCCTGATCCTGTCTTGCTGAGGTGCTATCAACGTTCTGAAACCACAACCAACCAAAAACAAGGTGGGCTCCAGTCTCTTGGCTTTTTTTTCCCCTCCCCTCTTTTGGTGCTGTCTTAGACCCGTTTACCGTGCTATAATCTGCTCTGAGCAGTGTTGTGTTGTGTTGTATTATTCTTCCCTTGGTGGCCAAACAAAGCAAGTCGAGAAGGCAGCTCTCTCCCTTTCTGTGATCGGGAGTAGGCCTGCCTGGCTTGGCAGGTGCTTTGGTTCCACACCTGTCTTCTCAGGCTTGATGTGAAAGAAAGGGCAAAGGGTTTTTTTAGTTTGTTTTTGTTTTTGAGGAAGGGGAGTTGGGTACTCCTGCCTCTCCTAGCATGATAGGCATTCTCATAGCCAGGGACACAGATTTTCTCCTGCAGCCCAGGGTGCTAAGCAGACATCTCTGGGAGTCCCAAGGGCACACCAAGAGAGACCAGATGGATCTCCTTCCTCCCCTGGCACTGGCCAGGACCATGGTGGGCAGGGGCTTCATTCTCTGACCCAGCGTTGCTTCTGCCTCTCATTGGTAACTCCTTATGTTCAGACTAAAGGAAGGAGCTTTCTTTGCTCACTCGATGCCACTGAGGCTGCTTTTTAGTTGGTGCTAACCTAAATTTCTTCTTGGGTCCACAGAAGTTGATGTTTTAAAAACTCAACAGGAAGCTCCATTTTGTGTCATCCACTGTCAAAATAATTTTTTTAAATACCTCAAAAACAGGACATCATGACAACTTCAGTAAAGTAGATTCCATGAGGGTCTGATACCTGCAGGTTGTCCGTCTGATGACGTACTTGACCTTGAAAAATCTGGGGTCATTTTTTTTTCATTCTTCGGCAGTTAAGATAGCGGAACGCCGAAAGGAAGGAGCGTAGTTGGCTGTATTTCATGTTTAAGTTTTGCTTTTGAATAAAATGTGAATTTCCTATGCCCATCTCATTGAGCTTTCTCAGTCATTGTTGCTGTCATTTGAAATGACTCCCTCAAAACCTAGTTTTATTAGCCAGCTGCCTCTGCTGTAGTATATGGTCAACTTCAACATACCCTGGACCAAAACTTTTGAGGTGCATACCCCCAGCATGAGTTATACAGTCCCACATCCAGGTGCACGGAGTGCAAGTGCACTCCGCGAGTGCGGGGGGAGGGGCGGCCCCCTCTGGTGCTCCCAGCCCTTCCTCCTGCAGAGCTGCGGGCAAGAGCAGAGCAATAGGATTCTCCCCTGAGCAGAGACCGCAGCACAGAAATGCAAGGTCTAAAGTTGCTTTTTGCCTAAGAATCAGCGAGTGATTTGGCCTACTTCCTCATTGGCTTCTATTCTGATATCAGGGATGCTTTTTGTAGTGGTATTGTTTGCTCCCTCTTCGCGTTTTGACTACCCGTCATTCAGGGGTAACTCATCACTCTTCACACGGGGATTTAAATTAAGAAACTAATTGGCTCATTTGAACATTCCAAATTTTCTTGGTTTCAATACCCTTTTTTTTCTTTTGAGGGGAAAAGAGGGGAGAAAAACAGGAGTGATGTCATTTCTTTTTCATGTATTCCAATTAAAGAAACAAGGGCAGGTCGTATAATGGCATATTAATACATTAGACTTAATCTAGAACCCCTGTAGCTTTTTGATGTGTTTTATTTCTTATCTCTTTGAATTCCTGTTTGGTTACTTGGCTTCCAATGGAGGTGAACTTAACAACCATACTTGAATATTCCGTCTTGACTTTGTAAACTGTGGCTACTTGAAATGAAGTTTATCTGGGGTTGATGGATGAATGGTAGATTTTTGCAATGTCTCAAGGCAATAGGATGTGTATTAAACTGTAGATATTCTTAGTACAGTAAATTTATGCTGATAATTTTATTTTGTATAATTTTTACCTTTTTGTTAATATTTTTTCCTTCCACTTTATTGGTTTGCCTCCTGAGCTACCCCTCCTTTACCCTCCCTTCTCCCTCAGTGTTTCAGTAAATTTAATTTAGGGTGCCTAGAAATTGCAAGTATGTATCCTTTTTGATTTGTATTTTATTATAATTTACACAAACAGCTGGGTTTGTGAACTGTATTACTCCTGGTATCTTTAAAATATTGTGGGTGTTTTAATAAATTTTATATTTATTTTTTGCACTCAAATTCAGTGTGGGTTCTTTTTTTCCCCTCCTTGAACCAGGACCGGAATGTGTTGTCAGGTACCCTGTAACCTCACCCTCCCACCATATGTTGTAGATGCACAAATGAAGCCCTCAAAAATAGCAGTGGCGGAACCTGACCTTGTCCATTCTGCCACCTGGATAAAGGAATGTTCAAAGGCTATCAGCTGTGAAAACGGGATCTAAAGGGGGAAAGTGGAGATGGCCTTTTTCTCATCTATGTTGCTCTTTTTGTTTTCTTTCCCTTTTATGTTTTTTGTCGTTTTTTGTTTGTTTTCTTTCCACTGGGAGATACTCCCCTCCTACTAAAATTAACTTCTGATGTTAGGTTTGCTAAAGGATCACCAAATGCTGCTTGGTTGGGATGGCTTGAACAGCAAGTCTAGTAGGGAATGGCTAATACGGAACCGGAGATTCTGCTGACCAGAGGCAGAGGTTTCCCGTAAGATCCCATGCCTGGAGCTACCTTCTTTAATTCAGATTGCCAATTCTGGAGGTGGCTGTTCTTGAAAAGGGAATAGGAATTGAGGAAGGAGAAGAGAGAATAGTGAATCTGCTCACTCTTCCTCCTTCCTTCTGCGTGAAACATCTGACTGAAGTTGATCCAGTGTCTTTGAGGGACAACCAGCCCAGCTGTTGATAAGGACTTCGGCAATATCCCAACATCCCAAGTCACTCTAGACGGGAAAGTTCATCTCTGAGGGCATCTGAGTGAAAACACCATGATCATAATGAGTGCCAGGTGATTGGCTTGGAGGTTTTTATCTCCCTTTTACTTTGCTTGCAAAGGAACCCACTGGAAATGCCTTGGCACACCCGGCTATCCAGGGATCCTCAAACATGTTTATATGTTTTACAAAAGTGGGGTCACACTGTGTTTTGTAACCTGCTTTCCCTCCTTGAGTTGGAAGAGACCTAGGTCTGTCCCCTTCCTGAGCGCCCGTCATGATGGTGCCATCTGCAGAGCCTGAAGGGAGGGCCAGGACATTCCTCCTTCCGCTGGGACTGGTTTCACTATTGGTTAGCTATAAATATGCTGCCATCTCTTCTTACACAATTTCCATGTTAAATATAGAAAATTAGAAGACAGAAGTTCTTAAAAGTTATCTGAAATCCCACCACAAGAGAACCACATATTGGTTGCAAACATTTTCTGAGTGTGTAAATGCGACCCATATGTATTTTTTCAAATGGAATACAATAATACAATGTTGTAATCTTTTTGCACTTAATCTTTATCAGTACGCAGAACAGCATCTTTTTAAATAGTTGCCTAGCAATTTTTTTAGTACGAATGTAGAAGCATTTAATCATCAAACTCTTTAACATCCCAACTTGTTGCAATCATTAATTGAACTAATCTAAATGTACCTCCATGTAAATCCCACTCAGTCTATTTCTTTCTATGCTAAGAAGCATTGCAGTAAATTCCCCTCTGCCACATGACTACATTCTGAATTCCATGAACCTTCTTGTAACAGGTCCAGGCCCCGTCCACCACTACTCCCCACTGCGCCCCCGTCTGTTCACACCTAGAGCATCATTATTCATATTGGGATCTCTAGAAATGAGCAATTTGTTCCAGATGGGATCCGGCTCATGCAAGCCAAGCACAAAGACACCAAGGAGCCCCACGATCTGGACATGCTATTTTTATAAATGCACACCAAGGTTTATTAGTTTTTTAAGCAGCTGAGTTTTACTGAGAGCTTGTGGCTTGGAAAGAACATGGCTCCCTCACTTCCCAATTGTGTGATTTGATGAGCCATTTCATCTTCCTGTGTCATTTTGTCAATAAAACAGGCTGATGATACCTCATAAGGTTGATATAAGGATAAAACAATTGCTACATAAGTGAAAGTGCCAGGCATTCGGGACACAGCAGTAATAAGAGCTATCATTATTATTCTTGACATATGCAAAGCTTTAGGTCACTAAGGAGTCCAAGACTAGTCTTGGACCACATAGTGTCCTCTTTTGTGAACTTCTGCCAAATCAGGTCCACTAACTCCAGTCTTCATGCAATTCATGCAATTTTTTTTTTTAATGCTTCACACAGCAGTTGAAGTGTAGCCATCTTAAATGAACTGTTTAACCCACTCTTCCTGCCTATTTTGAATCTTAATTTTGTCAAAGTATTAGTTTACCCAACCCAGCTACACAACTTAGTCAGCAACTTTGTTGTATGTTCTCATGCTCTTGAAAGCTTCTTAAGCTTGGAGAACTCTTAGTCATCTTTGTCTCCCATTGCACTCTGAAAATAATAGGCATTCAACATCCCATGTCCATGGAATGGTGCATCCATACATACATCATGTCCATGCAGGGGGACATGAAGCCCTAAAGACACGTTCAACACACATAATCCAGTGCATGTTCTTGTCAGAGCCATGAAGACAACACAGAAGACGTGAAAGACAAAGCTTTGTTAAATTCTAGATACCCCCAGCGTCTCATCCCCACTCCAGAGGTCTTAGCAGAGATCTGCTTTCCTCTACTGAGAAGCCCAATCCCAGGTCCACAGAACCTGCCAAATTTCCCTCGCTACACTTCAAACCATCTTCCTGTATGTTTGTTCTCTTTACCACACACACACCCCTGCTGCTCGGTACTCCCGACTCTCACTCTCCATGTACACCCTGTGCTGCTCCTGTGGAACGTGCTTCATCCATTAACCCTTTCCTGTGGCTTCTCCCCATCACGTGCTCTCAGGTTCACCCCAGCCTGACCCTGCTCTGCCTCATACACCTTTCCCACTCCTTCCTGTCACCAGCACATATCTGCAGGTGTAGACAACCTCCTAGCTTCAAGGTCCATACCACTCACTTACCTGTACCTTTATTTCTCCAGAAACAGTCAGCTTCTAGGCCAGGGATCCTTGTCCTCACTGACCTCTGTGAAGCCTTAGAAGCCCTCTGCTCCCAGACTGCATAGCCAGGAACATTCCATTGTCCCAGGACCCCGCCCCTTTTCATGAGCCCCTTTGTGACCTCCTGTCCTTTAAACACAAATGCCCCCAAAAGAATTCACCCAGTCTTCTCCACAGACTATCAGCTTTCCTTCAAAGGACTTGTTCAGCCACCAGGCCTCAACTATGACCCTAATGCCAATGATTTCCAAAGCCATGTCTAGCCCTGACCTCCCTCATGAGTTTGGGCTGCTGGATAGCTCTGGGTGGCTCTTTGGTAAGGCCAAAGTCTTAACTAAAACTGACCTCTCAACTCTCCACCAAATTTCCCATTTTTCTCCCAGTCATATCCTGACACCTGCCAAGTCTAGATTCTACATCCTCAGCATTCTCAATTCTGCTTCTCTTTGCTACTTTTATTAGCAACCCACATTGTACAGTCGTACAGGCTGTGCACTGCACAACTCTGGGGAACACTATTCATACAGACTATCATGTGTAAGCCTTAATTACAGATAAGGACTCCTTCCTGCTATGGACAGAGGCATATTGGATGAGGACCACAGTATAGCCCTCTAAAGCTGGGGACCCAGGGCAGAGGCCTCTCATGTCTTGGTCTAAATATGAGACTCTTCAGAAAGGTTGAATGGCTTGCTCAAGACCATCCAGCTAGGAAATGGCAGAGCCCAAAATCAACCCAGGTTGTATTTGGTGCCAAAGTCTGTGCCCTATCCAAATATACCCCCATTTCTTCTGTACCTTAAGACCCACAAATCCAAGGGACATTGTCCTCACTGGTGGGAATCTACCTACAAGTAAAGCTTAGGGCATGACCTAAGTCTGTGGGTCTGTGGGCACAAGAGGCACAGGTGCAACAAAGTGGCTCTACAGGAAGACTTTAGGCTCTTTAGAGCATCTTCAACATGTATTGTTATTTGAAAGACTTGAATTCTAGCCCCCATTTGATTGCCCTGCCCAGCTTACCAAAGCCAATCTCCTTACTCAGATAATCTTTCTAAAAACCAAATCAGATGATACTATTTCCCTGTAATACTCCTCAATACTCCCCGTTTGATACAGCTCTCAGGATAAGACATAACATTTTAACTTTGTCCCAGGGCCCCACAGGACTTGGCCCCAGTTTGCATCTTTAGTACTACTGCAGGCCACTTGGTGTCTTTTATCTGATTATGTCCTTGGTGCACCTCCCCATGTGGCCTCTCAAATATGAAGGGCCTTCTGATGGTAATGCCAGTAATACCACCAATAACCCACTCCTTTATTTACTTATTTACTTGCTTTTAAAGTATCTGTAAGAAACTAACTCCTTTTGAAATCCATTAAAACATTTACATAAGGCCAGGTGCGGTGGGCTCACGCCTGTAATCCCAGCACGTTGGAAGGCCAAGGCGGGTGGATCATGAGGTCAGGAGATTGATACCATCCTGCCTAACACGGTGAAACCCCATCTCTACTAAAAATACAAAAAAAAAATTAGCCGGGCATGGTGGTGGGCACCTGTAGTCCCAGCAACTCGGGAGGCTGAGGCAGGAGAATGGCATGAACCCAGGAGGCGGAGGTTGCATGAGCTGAGATCGCGCCACTGCACTCCAGCCTGGGTGACGGAGCGAGACTCCATCTCAAAAAAAAAAAAAAAAAATTTACATAAACTATAAAACTACTCCCAATAAAGAAAATTATCAGTAAGAGCCAAGACATCAGCAAAATTATACTCAAGGAAGTAAAAAATAAATAGGAGGCCGGGCGCGGTGGCTCAAGCCTGTAATCCCAGCACTTTGGGAGGCCGAGGTGGGTGGATCACGAGGTCAGGAGATCGAGACCATCCTGGCTAACACGGTGAAACCCCATCTCTACTAAAAATACAAAAAAATTAGCCGGGCGTGGTGGCAGGCGCCTGTAGTCCCAGCTACTCGGGAGGCTGAGGCAGAATGGCGTGAATCCAGGAGGCGGAGCTTGCAGTGAGCTGAGATAGTGCCACTGCACTCCAGCCTGGGCGACAGAGCAAGACTCCGCCTCAAAAAATAAATAAATAAATAAATAAATAAATAAACAGG